CTCGCGAGGGGTTGCCCTTTGGTGATTTGGCGGCACGTCCTTCCCCGTCCTTGGTGTCTTGCGACGCAGGCCGGTGGCGTCCCTTGTCCCCTGCCGTGCGGCTGAGGGTGCGGTCGTCCCTGGCACCCAGGATGTCCCAGGTTGAGCTGCTTGCCCTCTCTGGGCTGTCTCTCGCCCTCCTAACCTTTCAGGTGGCAGCTCGATCGACGGTCTGTGAGTACGGGGTCCAGGCATTGGGCCTAGTGGGCGTGTTCTTAAATACGGTTAGGGGGTCAGAGGGGTCCTCCTCCTCGCCTTCGTCCGCAACTGGTGTCGGGCTAACCGCCGGGCTCGAGTCTTTGGCTGTGTCTGACTTGCTTTTCGCGTCCTCGTCCCAGTCGGGGGCCTCCGGTTCGCCCTCGGTTTTGCCTGTCTGGTTGGAGGGGCCTAGTCCTTCCGCAGGAGGATCGCTGGCCCCGTCGGCTCCTGGGGCGTGGGGGTCTGCTCTGGAAGGGGCGGCCTGGAGCAGCATCCCGCTCTGGGCCGTGGCTGGCTGCTGGGGGGGTCTCTGCAGCCTCGCCTGTTCTGTTCAGCCAGGTTGCCGCTGGAGATTCGGCTGCTGTTGCGGAGTCCGTGCCTGTCTCGAGTGGGTCTCGGTTGGCGAGCACTTTGATGGTTCCGTCGGCGAGGGCAGTGGGGTCCATCCCCATGAGGTATGTCAATAGGTTGCTGAGCCGCTGGCGGTGGGGACACTGGCCTCGATGTTCAGCTAGGTTGGCAGCGCACCTGCACCACATGGCCTCATACATCCCGCTAGCTCTCGTTAGGTGGTAAACCACTCGTGCCGCCGCGGCCCGCTGGCCGTCCCATGGGATGCTGGGGGGGTGGCAGTTGTTGGGGATCGTATCTCCGTAGATCTTGACCAGGAACTGGCGAAGACGCCCTGAGGGCCACGACCCTTCATCGGTCTCATCGCCTGTTATCCCACCGCCGTTTTGCACCACGTACTCCGTCCATTGCTCGTACATGGTGGGGTTCCACTCTGCCACTCGTGGGGATACGCGAAGCGTCTAAAGTTTGCAAGGGTTTCACGGATTGAGGGCGGGTCGTTTTCAACATGTGGTTCTCGCCTTAGCACCGCGCGCATTCGTTGAATGCAAGAGTTTCACGGATTGAAGGCGGTTCCTTTTCAAGCTGTGGCTCTCGCTTTAGCGCCGCGCTTGTAAACATTTGCAAGAGCTTCACGGATCGAGGACGCTTCCTTTGTAAAAGATAGCTCTCGCCTTAGCGCCGCGCACGTTCGTTTATATGTATCTATACAAAATAAGAAGCTCGCAAGAGTTTCACGTATTCCCAGGGTCAGCGTACCGGAAATGGTGTGTTGGAAGAACTGAGGAGTATGAAGGTGCAGCAGCTACATTGGTTCGCGGTGTTGAAGTCCGAGGACTGGCATGGCGTTCTGGCACGATTCAAGATCGTCAAGACGCAACTGCCAAGTTGTTCCGTTGCAATGTAATCATGAATGGTAGCAATGCTTTGGCACGCTTCAAGGTCTTCAGACGGTTGCCTTCCAAAGGGGCAGGTCCCTCAGTGGAAATGAACCTTGCAGGGGCCTATGAAGAGGGTTTTTTGGGGAGGGATTATTCCAACATCATTGGTGACTCTTGGGTTTGCACTGGTCCTCCTCCTCCTGCTCCTCCTCCTCCTCGTCCTAGCCCGTGGACTCCTGCCTGTGTAGGGACAGCCGCTCAGACTCGCTCCTTGCTCCTTGCTCCTTGTTCCTCGCTCCTCCTCCTTTTCCTCCTCTTCCTCAGCTTCCTCCTCTTCCTCCTCTCCCTCATCTTCCTGTTCCTCCTCGTCCTCGTCCTCCTCCTCCTCCTCCTCCTCCTCCTCCTCTCCACGTTGCTCCTCGCTCCTCGAAGCTAACGCGGCACGGGTCTACAGACGGTCAAAGCAATCGTTGGGACGAGGACGAGACGGGAGTGGCCAATGAACGGAGCGACGGCAGCAGCGTCGACGGCGGCGCCAGAGCACGCGATCCCTGTGCTCCTGCGAGACCACCCTGCCCTTTCACGTCTGGCCTGGACGACGCAGAGGTACAAGAGGACGCCCCTCCTCCTCCTCCTCCTCCTCCTCGCTCCTCGCTCTCGCTCCTCGCTCCTCGCTCTCCTCCTCCTCCTCCTCCTCCTCCTCCTCCTCCTCCTCCTCCTCCCCCTCTTATTCCGCCCACCCCCTCCTCTGTGGGAGCTCAGTGGCCACGAAGACGGCGAGCAATGACGCGCGCCTGGCGCGGCAGCCGGAACAACATGATCGCGAAGGCGCCGTAGGCCTGCTGGAGGGCTGCGTACGAGGCTGTCGGGGGGTCCTCGTTCTCGTCCACAAGTAAACAGCATGAATGCTACTCTCCTCTCTCCCGTGGTGGCGTCTGGGGATGACGGGAAGCGCGCCAAGATTCGAGGGGTCGCGCGATGGACGCCTGGTTGCCCAGGGGGACATATCAGCTGGGGCTTCCTCTTCCTTCTCCTCCTCCTCCTCCTCCTCCCCCTCCTCCCCTACTCCTCCTCCATCACCTTTCCTTAGAACCAGCTCCTCGCTGTCGCATCCCCAGTCGGTTCGGTATGGCGGGCCGAGTGCTTCGCCTGTTCGCCCTTCGTGGCCCTGACGCTTGCGCTGGGTAGCAGTTTCACGGATGGAGGGAAGGCCCTCATCGACATGTGGCTCTCGCCTTACGCAGCGCCGCGCACACCCGCTCGCAAGGAGCTGCAGCAGCTTCTCGGATGGAGGGCGGGCCCGCTTCGACATGTGGCTCTCGCCTCGGCGCCACGCGCGTTCGTTCTTTGAACGTGTGCAGCAGCTTCGGGGATGGGGGGCGGCTCCCTTTCAAAATGCGGCTCTCGCCCCAGCGCAGCGCACACTCGTAGCAAACGTCTGCCGCAATTTGCAGGACCCGTACGGCCGAAGCCCCAGGAACGGTACCCTATTGGCAGGACGCAATAGCCACGTTGATGCACGGTTGGTAAAAGCCAGGAACGGTGTTCAGGAACGGACTAACATAATCAAGGCGCAGCGGTCACGTTGAATCGCGGTGTTCTAATCCGAAGGACGGTGTTTGGGCACGACTGAGGAACGTCAAGGCGCAACAATCACGTTGTTCCGCGGCAAGTCCCAGGAACGATGTTCTTGCACGGTTGAGGATTCTCGGACGGTTGTCTTCTAATTGGCTACTTCCCGCAAAGGAAATGGATTCTTGTAGGGACCTATGGAGAGGGAACTTGGAGGGAAGGTTGACTGCAACATCGTTGGTGCGTCTTGGGTTGAAGCAGGTCCTCCCCTCTTCTTGTTCCTCCTCCCCTTCCTCCTCCCCCTCCCCATCCTCCACGGATGCGAGGGTCCTCTTCCTCTTTCCTCCTTCTCCTTCTCCCATGATTCTTCCTCTTCTTTTTATTGTTCTTCCTCCTCCTCCTTCCTCCTCCCGTGAGCGAGCCAGGCTTCCGCTCGGTGCTGCTCTTGCCTATGCCTGCCGCAGCGGACTGCGCGGCAGTGACGCACGAACCTCGTCGAAGGCGCCCCTGGGTGCGCACGCGGGCCGTCGCAGTCGGCGGCGGCGGCGCAACACCAGCTCATCAATCGCCCTCCTCCTCCTACTCCTCCTCCTCCTCCTCCTCCCCCACTCCCTTTCCTTAGGGACAACTCCTCCAAGTCGCACCCCGAGGCCGGTCGAAAAGGCGGGCTGGGCGTTTCGCCTGAGACTTCCTCACGACTCATGATCGTGAAGCTTGACCTTTGCAGCACTTGAACGGGTGGAGGGCGATCCGTTCTCAAAATGTGGCTCTCGCCTTTAGCGCCGCGGTTTCAAAGATGGAGGGCGGCTCCTTTTCAGAATGTGGCTCTCGCCTGAGCGCCGCGCACACGCGTCTCCTTAAAGTTGGCAAGAATTTCACGGATGGATGGCTGTCCGTTTTCAAAATGCTGCCCTCGCTTTAGCGCCGCGCACATTCGTCTAAGAGCTTGCAGCAGTTTCAAGGATTCTCATGATTAGTGTCCCAGATCTAATGTTTGGCACGATGTCGGGATGTCAGGGCGCAACAGTCACGTTGACTCGCGGTGTTGAAATCCCAGGAATGGCGTTCTGGCACAACTCAGGATCGTCAAAACGCAACAGTAACGATAATTCGCGGCGTTGAAGCCTCAAAAACGGCGTTCTGGTGTAGACGGTTGTCCTCCAACGGGGCATTTCCCCCAGTGAAAGCGGATCCGTGCAGGAGCCTGTGAACAGGGAACTTGGAGGGAGGGCTTGCTGCAATGTCGTTGAAGCGTCCTGGGGTTACACTAGTCCTCCTCCTCCTCCTCCTCCTCCTCCTCCTCCTCCTCCTCCTCCTGGCGGCGCGCACACGAGGCTGGAGCGAGGGCCCGGGCGGCCTCCTGAGAGGGTGGGGGCCAGAGGTGGGGGCCTTCTCGGAGGGGGCGTCTTGGGAGCTCCGAGGGCTTCTTGGACGTTCCTGTCCTCGCCGCGCGCGCGCTCCCACGTGCGGGCGGGAGGAGGCGGGGGACCACTCACCAAACTGCTGGGACTGCGCGCGGGCCGCCTTTGCACACTCCCTGGGTGTGAGGAGGGATTGTCAGGTGGGGACACCCGTCACCTGGGGAAGCGCCAACTCGCAGCCCGATATTGTGGTTTGCTGACGAGGATTAGGCCGGGCATGTCCCCCTACCGGCAGATTTTGGAAGAAAGAAGAGAAACAGTCAACAATACTCAAGAGTAGCAAAAGCTAGTCGAAAAATCGTCCGCAGATTAATTTCAAACTATTTTTGAATACTCCTCCCGTAAAGGGACATACCCGACTTAAAACGAGGAGGAGGAGGGGGACGAGAGGAATGAGGAGGAGGGATGTGCTCGTCCCCGCCGCCCCTCGGGGAAGCCCGTCGCGTGGACCTCCCGACGATGGCCGCCCGGCTGCCCCGAGAGGCTGCGCGAGTAATGCTGCCCGCCGGCGCCGGCAGCCCGTCAGGGCGTCGGCAGGTCAGGCCCTCTCGAGCATGCCGGTGGCCAGCAGCATGTCGACCAGCACGCGGCAGCTCAAGAACGGCTGGAACTGGTTCTCCTTGGTCGGGCGCTCGGGGTCCTGCCCCTCGAATTCCGCGAGGCGCTCCTCGTCGTAGAAGACCTCGTGTGCCGCCTCCTGGCTGAGATGCCGTGAGACCCACTTGAAGATACAGCCCGGGTCGACGACAGAGGAACAAACAACTGCATACACATAAACATTCGGAGATCCGCGCGGATCTCTTGGATCGGCGCTGGACCCCCCTCCATGGCGCGCGTAGCGCGCCAGAAGCGCCGCCAAAGGGGGGGGGTCTGGGTGACCCAAAAGGGAGTCCAGCTGCAAGGGTGTGGTGCAATAGATTTGGGGCAATTGTATTGCACATGTATTGCGCCAGAGAATTGTATTATTGCAAATCATGTATTGCACGCGACAGTTCAGCAATACATGACATTGGCGTCCCGGCATGTACTGCTCCCCCCAAACGTATTGCAACCCCTCAAATCCAATTATTGCACCACCCCCTTGTCGCTGGACCCCTTTTGGGTCAACCCGAGGGGGGCGTAGCGCTGATCCAAGAAATCCGCGCGGACCTCCGACAGTTTATGCTTCTACCGCTCTTCTTCCTCCGAATGAGGCGATCGGCCGCCGCGGCCTGCGAGCATCGCTTCTCCGATCCCCATCCTCGCCGGCGTGGTCTTGGCCCCACTGGCCAAACCACAAACTGCCCGCCTGAGGTCTTCGTGGAGCCTGCCCGCCTGAGGGCTTCGTGGGGCCCGCGAGCGCGTGGCCTATTCGTGTCCTACCCGCCTCCCCCGCGTTTTTTTTTTTTTTTTTTTTTTTTTTTTTTTTTTTTTTTTTTTTTTTTATTTTTTTTTTTTTTTTTTTTTTTTTTTTTTTTTTTTTTTTTTTTTTTTTAAAAAAAAAAAAAACAAAAAATATATATATTTAAATGTTATTATTACTAGTATTATTATTATTATCACATATATATATTATTATTATTAAATGTTTTTTGTTTGTGATTAGTATGTATCATTATTATTATTATTATGTATTATTATTCGTATTATTATTAGGATTATTACTATTACTACTATTATTGTTATTATCATTATTATTATTATTAGTATTATTATTATTATTGTTATTATTATTATTATTATTATTATATATATATATATATATATATATAAAGGATCGTGCCGCTCCCACTTTTTTTATATCGCGTGCCCCCATTAGGAGGGTGGGTTGGTGGGGCCGAGATACTCTGACCAGTGGGGCCCCACACGTCCGGCTGCTCCGCCTCCGTCGAAGAGCGTGGGCCTCCGAGGCCCGGACCACTCCCCTGGGGCCGGCTCGTCGCCCCGCGTCGTGTCTCTTGACGCTCCCGAGGCCCGGCGAGGGCCCCCCCGCAGGCCGAACGCTGCTCCAATCTCGGCCACACGCAAGAGTGACCCTGGGTAAGAGTGACCTCTGGAGCGCGGCCACGTGGGGGCCGTTGGGGGACACCACGAGGCGCGCAAGCTGCTGCTACCGCTTCGCTTTCAGCCATCCGAGGGCCCACCTGTGCCCGCACCAAAGGTCACTCCGGCGAAGGGTCACTCTCACGTCTAATCGACAATCCCGCCACTCCAACTTTTTCCTGGCGCGTCCGGTCTCTCTGGGGATGGGGATGGGCTGGACGAGGCCGAGCCTGGTTGTTGACGTCCGCCAGCAGCGTCTGCAGCCACTCCTTGACGGAGAGCCCGCGCACCAGCCGCCGCTGCAGCTCCGCGGGGTCCACCGCGCCGATCTCCTCGAGGACCTGCGGCAGGAAGCGGTCGCCGCCCGCCGCCTCCAGGCCGTCCAGCCCGAAGGCCTCTGCGGGAGCAGCCGCAAACAGCAGACACCCCTGCGTAGAGTCAGGTCGGGCACGTCCCCCTAAAAGCGGATTTTGGACGGCAACTTGGACATCGTCAAAACATATTGAAAAATAGACCAACGTAGTCACAAGCATCGTCCCCAGACCATTTTTCGATTCTTTTGGGATATACCTCGTGTAGAGGGACAGGCCCGACTTCAGCTTAGAGCGAAGAGAACCTTCAGCCAAGGAAGTGGACTTCCCTCCAAGCGTCTTCTGACACACAGTAGCCCAGGTCCAGATGTGCAAGCGCACTGCGCAAAAACGCCATAACCATAAACTTTTGGCGCTCCGCGCGGATTTCTTGGATCTGCGCTGGGCCCCCCTCCCTGGCGCGCGGAGCGCGTCAGGGGCGGCGCCGGAGGCGCCGCCAGGGGGTGCCCAGCGCGGATGCAAGAAATCCGCGCCGAGCACCAACAGTTTATGTTTATGACTTTTTTTGTCTTCTTCGAAGACCTTCCAGCTAAGGACGTGGAGTTCACTCCAGGCATTTGTTGCTCCATGAGAACACCCCGGGTCCAGCCCAGATTCCTGATATAGACTTTTTCTGAAGATTTCTCACGGGTGTCCAAACATGGGGTCCAGCGCTGATATAAAAGAAACGCGCGGAGCTACGGCAGGTCCGTGTCGTGCCGACTTCGGCGTTGGTTTCTGACACCGCGGGGATCGTTCAACCTTGAACGATCGGCCGTTTCCGAAACGTCCAAATCGTTCCACATCGAACGATTCTGGGTCGCCTGCGGCGTTCAAGGTTGAACGCCGCTGGCGGGGTCGCCGCCGGTCGACACGACACTAACCTACCGTACGACATGTTATGGTTGTGCCGTATTCTGTTCCCGCGAGCCTCGCCGAGCAGCCAGGTGTAGCCACTCACCAGGTGCGCCCTCTGCTGCCAGGGCTGCGCGCGCGTGTGGTCCAGGTCGCACCCGGGGTGCCTGCCCGTGATGTAGCAGTTGAGCGCGGCCTCCTTCGCGCGCAGGAGCGAGTACCGCAGCTGCCCTTCAAACGTCTCGCTCTGTGACGTGAGGTCGCCGAAGAGCCGCAGGATCTCCCGCGCCTGCACCTGCTGGCAGTCCGTGCACGCCTCCGCCAGCGCCGTGAGGCAGCCGACGCGCTTGGGGTGCTCGGGGGGCAGTTTGGCCATCTCCGCGAAGACGTGGCGCAGCGCAGGCACGATCTGGCGATTCACCGCGGACGAGGGCGGGCCGTGCATGAACAGGCCGTTCGAGTAGCTGTCCGTCAGCATCTGCGTGACCGTCTTGAGCCCACGCTCGCCGCGCATGCTCTCCACGCCGGCCACAGACTCCCTCAGCATGTCGGGGATCCGCGACCGCAGGCTCGGGCCCTTCAGCTTGGCGCGGTGGCCGCCGCCCCGCGGCCGCAGCGGCCCGAAGGCCGGTCGGCCGAAGACGAGCCCCGCCGCGAGGGCCTCGAGGCCGAGAGGGCGCTCCTCAGCGGAGCCCCCAGCCGCCGCCGACGCCGGCGGCGCGGCGCCCGCGCCGGCTGCGGCCTCGGCGGGGGCCGACGCGGCGCTGCTGGACGAGCCGCCCGGCGGCGAGGAGCCAGGCCCCGGCGCGGCCTGCGTTGCGGCGTCGAGGCCAGCTGCGGCGGGGCGCTCAAGCCTGGGCCGTTTGGCGGGCCTGCTGGGGGCCTCGGGCGGCACGTGCGCCGGGGGCGCGCAGGCGCACGAGTGCGGTGCGGCCCCTGCGGCAGCGCCGGCCGCCTCGGTGGCGGCCGGCGCCCTGGCGGAGGTGCCACTGCAGGCCAGGTCGCCGTCGCGGCGGCGGCGGGGCGGGGCGTGCGGCGCGGGCGGCCGATCTGGGGGCACGGCTCCTGTGAGGAGCAGGTCTGTTGCCCGGTCCAGCCGGCCGTGAGTGGCGGCCAAAGCCCGCCGCGCCTGGCCGGAGTCGAAGCCCATCTCCACCAGCGTCGCGAGCGCGCCATCCATGCCGCTGCTGCCGCCGCTGGGTGCCGAGCCCCGCAGCAGCGCCTCTGCCGCCGCGTCCACGTTGCCACCCGTACGCCGCAGCGCTCGCCTCGCTTCAGGGGCCCCGAAGCCCGCGTCGGTCAGGACCGCCACCGCCCTGGCAGCGGGGGAAACCATGGCTCCTGGGGCGGAGGGGCCACCCGCAAGGGTACGGCATATGAGATGGGGCTGCGGGGGCGAGCCTGCTCGAGCCAGCCTGGCCCATTGGGGAAGGGCGGGGCTACCAGGTGGGTGAGGAAAGGATCAGGAGGGAGGCGAGGCGGTAGGCATGGGTGGTGCGCGGGCGGAGGAGGAGACGTGGGCCCCTGAGATCCGTCGTTGCGAAACGTGGGCCGCTGGAGAAAACTCGCCGACAGGAGCCCTGGGCCCCATCTTTTTGTGCCAGTTTTCGAACTTGATCGATCTGGGATGGTCCAGGGTTCCGAAACCGAGGAAGATCCCCCGGTGTGGAATGAATGCGACGCCAGAACCCCAGACCCCCGAAGTCATGACTTTGTCATGGCGTGGACCCCAAGAGGTCTCGACCCCTTCCCCGGGACCAATTCTTCATCCCGAACCGTTTTTGGACGGCCCCGAGGGCCGGTGAAGGCCCCCAACGCCCGAAAATCGTGAAAAAACTCCCCGTCGTGCTCTTTCCGTGGCCCGAGGTGGCCCGGGGCCTCAGGGCTTGTTCCGTCTGCTGCTCCTCGGAAGCTCGGGCGGGCGGGCCCCGCGGAGCTGCGACGGCCGCTCGTGCGACAGAGCCGGGCGGAGACGCCCGGGGGTGAGTAGGGGAACGAACAAGGACATTTTTTTTGTTTGTTCTTTCTTTTCCGCGTCTGCTCTACATGACCTTCCGCAGCCTTCGGATCACGGAGCGAGCACCTGGATCATATGCTTCCAGCGCGCGGGGAAAATCGCTGCCTCGGAACGCCTGCGCTACGTCGGCACCGCTCGCAGGTAGGAGGAACACGGAGGAGCAAAGTGCACCACGCGGGGAACGCAGCGGAGGAACGAACAAGGGCATAAACATAAAAACTCGGAGGCCCGCGCGGACTTCTCTGATGGGCGCTTGGCACCCCCGATGGCGCCTCTGGCGCCGCCCCTGGCGCGCTCCGCGCGCCGAGGGAGGGGGTCCAGCGCCGATCCCAGAAAGCCGCGCGGGCCTCCGAGCTTTTATGTTTATGCCATTGCTTGCTCCCCGAATGAAGAACCCAGACCCCCTCGCGTCGTGAAAAAATCACGACGGGAAGTTTTTCCTCCTTTTCGGCCTCTGGGGGCCCCTACCAGGCCTCGGGAGCGTCAAAAAACGACTCAGGATGCAAGGCCGGTCATGGGGAAAGGGTCGGGACCTCTGGGGGTCGACGTAATGCAAAAATCATGACGTCGGGGGTCTGGGAACCCAGGCCCCCGCGGGTCATGAAGAAATCATGACGGTCAATTTTTCGCTGCTTCCGGCCCTTGGAGGCCCTCGCTGGGCCTCGGGACTGTCAAAAAACGACTCGGGACGGAAAGCCGGTCCAGGGGAAGGAGTCCAGACCTCTGAGGGCTCATGCCATGAAGAATTCATGACGTCGGGGGTCTGGGAAAAGGGCCCGAAGGGGCACTTTCATACTCCTTTTGGAGTCAGCAAATGGGGCCCCAAAGGGGTCCTAAAGTGCCTCTTGAGGGCTTCTTTCGTCACCCATTTGGGTCACCCCCCATTACCCCCCGCGCGGATCAAATTGCAGCGCCCGGACCTCAGGGGCAGTGGACCCAGACCCCCGACGTCATGAGTTTTTTCATGACGCCGACCCCTAGCAGTGTCGGCCCGTTCCCAGGGACCAGTTCCTCCTCCCAGTCGTTTTGTGATGGCCCCGAGGGCCAGGAAGGGCCCCCAGAGGCCGAAACTAGAGAAGAACCTGCCGCCATGACTTTTTCGTGGCCCGAGGAGGAGGAAGAGGAGGAGGAGGAGGAGGAGGAGGAGGAGGAGGAGGAGGAGGAGGAGGAGGAAGAGGAGGAGGAGGAGGAGGATGATGATGAGGAGGAGGGGGTCTGGAGAGAAGCAGTCAAACCTGGGCCACCCGGCTTCGCTCCTCGCGCCGTTCGAAGTGCGGCCGCGCCTCGCGCCCTCGCTGGGCCACCCCAGGGGAAGGGCACCTGCCGGATGGCCCAACATCGGATCGGAAAATCGGATCGGCAATCGAAGCGCATCTCTTGAGCAGGGACCGACCGTCCCGGCATTCCTATAGTCCCACCACAAAGTGTTCTTAGAACCCCAGAATGTTCGAAGGGCAAAAACAAGGTTCTTAGAACTTTAACCCGATGTGATAAAACAAAACAGACCCCCGGCCAAACATGTTCTAAGAACATTTCGTGGAAACCACAAACAATTCTTAGAACATTCTTTGGTGGGACTATAGGCACGCCGGGACGCTTCGCCACTGCTTGAATCTAATCGGCGGGAGTCGACAGGCAGGTCTGCCCCACAGAGGCCCACGAGCTCGCTCCGAAGAGGCACCACGAAGCATCCCTGAGGATTCTGCCCACGTCAGCGTCGTCGTCGCCGCCGATGCCGCCGTCGTGGTCGGCGTCCCCCTTCAGGGTCGGCGGCACCGGCCGTAAGGCCTTTCCAATACATCTTATCGGCAAGAATCGGCAGGCAAGTCAGAAGGCATCGGAGTCGACGTCCGCAGGCCCAAGCCGAGGCATACACGAGGAATTCCCAACCGAAGTCGGAATGCAGAGTCGGATCGAATCATAATCGGAATCCTGGAAACCGAATCGATTCGCATCGACCAGATCACCGGGCGCGATCATCTTCGCGCCCTTGAGGGTAACCGGAGGCCCCACAAGCAAACTCGGCTCGGGAAGAGAAAAGAGAAAGAGAGACGGGAGAGAGGGAGAGAGATGAATGACCAACGGGGGAAAGACACGACGGGATGGTGCAGGACAGGACGGGGCGGAGACGGAGGGGGGCAAGGACGCGACGCAGGACATGGGGCCGGGGCAGGACACGACGGGAGGCACGAGGAGGAAGAGTACCTGGGCAGCGGACAGGGCCAGACGCCAGGCACTGACTCGTGCGCGGCGGAGACGGGGAAGGGCAGCGGGGGGGCGGAACAGCAGCAGTATGTGGGGGCGTTTGGGGCAGGCTTTGCTGCGACGGGCGCGCCGGGCGGTCGTGGCGCCGCGCGGCGGCGGTCAAGGCCTCGAGAGGCGGTGCCCGGCCCGGGCCCTGGGAGAGGGCGAGAGCGGCGGCAGCCAGTGCGCCTTCGCGCCGCGCAGGCTCCGAGGACGCGCCTCGGCCACGCGGGCCAGGCCCCGGGACGACCGCCCGCCGGGGCACCACGGCTCTGCTCCTCGGCCCCGGCCTCGGGGGGGAGAGGCTCCAGCTCTCCAGGCCGAGTCCAGCCGCCATGGCGGGAAAGGGCGAGGAGGGAGACAGAGGGGACGGGACGGGGAGGGCACGGGAGGGAGGGGCTCGCCAGGCAGGGAGAGCAGGGCAGTGGGAGATCGTGGCGGGGGGAAGACCCAACGCCGAAGCCGTGAAACTCAGGACATCCTGCTCCTGCTGCTGCTGCTGCTCCTTCCCCGAGAAGTCTCAAGAATCCTCCAGAGGTTCCCTGAGGTTCACACTTATGATGAAACAGGTTGAACAACTCGATCCTCCTCCTTCTCTCCCTGTAGCACCCCCAGTCGTGTCGGTAGAGCGGGCCGGGCGTTTCGCCTGAGATTTCTGCATCATCCATGACACCGGAAGTTGAAATTTGCAACAGGTTCGCTGGTGGAGGGGGGTCGTTTTCAAAATGTGGCTCTCGCTTAATACCGCGAACATTCATCTTTGCGTCGCGCACATTCGTCTCAACGTTTTGAAGCAATTTCACGGATGGAGGGCGGGCGGTTTTCAAAATGTGGCTCTCGCTTCAACGCCGCGCACACCCCTCTAAACATGCGCAACAGTTTCAAGGAATCGTATGGTTGAAGTCGCAGGAATAGCATTCTGGCACGATTTAGGACTGTCACGATACCACGATCACGGTGATTCGCTGTGTTGGAATCCCAGGAACAATTTTCGGGCATGATATGTTAATAGGTCTGTCAGGGCGCACCAGTCACGTTGATTCGCGGTGCTGAAATCCCTGCACGTGTGTTTTGGCACGATTGAGGACTCTCAAACGGCTGTCTTCCAATGGGGCGCTTCCCGCAAGGAAGCCCTTTTCCTGTAGGGACCTATGCAAAAGGGGGACTTGGAGGGAGGGCTTACTGCAACATTGCTGATGCGTCTTGGGTTTGCAGTGGTCCTCCTCCTCCTCCTCCTCCCCATTCTCCTTCTCCTCTTTCTCCTTCTCCTCCTCCTCCTCTTCCACCTCCTCCTTCCCCTTCCTCATGAATGGCTCCCACTGGTCCCCACGAGACGTGTCGCCATAGCGTTCCCGACGTCTCGCCCTGGTTCCACGCGTCAGATGTTCCTGCAGCTCCGTCAGCTATAGGGACAGATCGCGGAATGCTTTCAACATGTGTCTAACGCCTTATCCGCAATAACACTTCTCTTGACAATCTCCACCAGCTGCAACACGGGAGGGCGGATGTCTTTTCCCGCGTCAGCGCCGTGCAGATCAGTTCTGCCACCAGCAGCTACGTGCTTACACGGGCGGTGGACGAGACCTTTTCAGGTGCGGGGCTCTCGCTTGCGCTTGAGCTGTTTCCCCCGATCTCGCCAACTGCTTGTCGACACGGAACTCTCGGCTGGCACTGCTGCAGCAGTCCTTCCCAGAAGCGCGACGCCCGTGAACGGCGACGACGGCGAGGACGACGACGAGGACGACGACGGGGACAGGGGCGACGGCGACACGACGACGACGACGGCGACGACGACGGCGCCAAGCGACCCTCGGCGGCGACGCTCGGCGACGGCGCTCGGCGACGGCGACGGCCACGGCGGTCCTGCCGCCCCGCGCTCCTCGTGCACAGCCCGACGGCTGCGGGGCGGCTCCTCCTCGAGGCGGGGCCCCCGCCGCAGCGGGCAGGCCCACGGGGCGCTCGTCGCTCCAGCGGGGGGGGGGGGCGCCGCGCGCCGCTCCGCAGTTCGAGGCCGCTGCCTGCAGGGCGCTGCAGGGACCGGCCTCTGGGCGGGAGGTGTGCTGCAGCACCTCTGGACGCATCCTGCGTACACTCTGCTGCTCCTCCTCCTCCTCCTCCTCCTCCTCCTCCTCCTCCTCCTCATTTTCTCCTCCTCCCCCTGCTCCCTCTCC